AGTGGAACACCCTTTTTTTCCACTTATAAATTCATACAAACACTAGATAACAAGTTTACACTAACATATATTAAGTTAGCAATAGAACCAGGCATCAAAAAACAATAAAAAAGTACAATACACACAGTGCACTCATTACTTACCTTAAAATATTTATAGTCTTAATCTAGGGCGAGACAAGTAGTATTTATTGTAAGAAATCAAGTGTGGTATGTATGGTAGTCAGCCGGGCTACCATACCAGGCCAACCCACCCACACATATATTCTATGATATTTAAGCATCCCAGAGCGATAAAATGTATATACAGTTCACTCATTACTTACCTTAAAATATTTGTAGTCTTAATGTAGGGTCAGGAGTAAGTAAATGAGATAAACCAAGAATGAGAGAGAGAAAGAATGAGTACATGAGAGGGGACAGGCGCAGAGTTATGTAAACAAACCAGGCGAACGCAAGTTTTGTAAACAAACGAAGTGTACACGTCTGGTTTGTGTACAAGTTACATTGTGTACAGGTTGTCTCTACATTGATACGGTAGAATTAATAAAGAAGAACACTCCCATTCTCATGTAACATCATTTTGAGAAGAAATGAAGCTCTGAGTGAAGGCAATGGAAATAAGTCACACTGACTTTTTTGGGTTATCCTAGGTTCTCTACACATATGTTATGTATGATAATCTATGTAACTGTATTTGTGTATACCTGAATAAACTTACTTACATACATACGAAAGGAACAATTTTCTACAGTTACCCCCAGTAACACATTTTCTCTTATGTTAGATTAGAGAAAATGTTATTCTTGCCGTCACTTGTACAAGTTATCTGCCTCCCACATCTTATATTTATGTTTATTTATTCTATTGTGGGGTGTATTTATCATCTTTTTATGTTATGTATCGTGTTTATTATATAATTTTGAAAAAAATATCATGGATGGATTAATGAAAATGTGTATATTAACGTAATATACGACATTTAATGAGACTCGGAGAGTATTGTTATTATTATTATTATCATTTCTAATATGGCGTCACTTGTGCAAGTCGTCTGCTACCACATCTCATATTTGTTTATTTATTCTATTGTGGGGTGTATTTATCATCTTTTTATGTTATGTATCGTGTTTATTATATAATTTTGAAAAAAATATCATGGATGGATTAATGAAAATGTGTATATTAACGTAATATACGACATTTAAATGACTCGATGATTATTATCATTACTAATATGATGTCTGGAGACATAAGACACTTACCGATTTTAATGTGTACCTGCATGCCAGCACAGTATGTAAGTTTATTTAGGTACAGGTATACATAAGTATAATTATCAGAGTATATATAAAATATGAAATAACTTTTAAAAACATTTGAAATTTTGGAGTTTCCAGACAAAATGGAGACTTAGTGCTTACTGAGCTCACGGAGAATGTAAACAAACAGGGTGGGGCACGGTGACCGTATTAGAAAGTCAGGTGGGGGGAGCCGTATAGCGAGTTTTGGTCATAATTTGAAATGACCGTATTAGCGGAATGCCATAAAGTGAAACGCCGTAAAGCGGGGCCCTCCTGTATAGGCAGGAAGAGGTAGAGGTGGTGGCGGCGGCGGCAGCAGCAGTAGTGACGACTTTGTAAATGGTCCAAGTCGGACAGAAACGTAGTCATAAGCTCCTCTCTTCTATGTGCGGGTTATTTGTGTATAAGTGAGTGTAAAATGAAAGCCTGTAATTGTTTTACATGATGGTAGGATTACTGGTGTCCATTTTTCTGTCTCATGAACATGCAAGGTTTCAGGTACATCGTGCTACTTCTACTTACACTTAGGTCACACTACACATACATGTACAAGCATACAGTATATACACACCCTTCTGGGTTTTTCTTCTATTTTCTTACCAGTTCTTGTTCTTGTTTATTTCCTCTTACCTCCATGGGGAAGTGGAACAGAATTCTTCCTCCGTAAGCCATGCGTGTTGTAAGAGGCGACTAAAATGCCAGGAGCAAGGGGCTAGTAACGCTTTCTCCTGTATAAATTACTAAATGTAAAAAAAGAAACTTTCGTTTTTCCTTTTGGGCCACCCCGCCTCGGTGGGATACGGCCGGTGTGTTGAAAGAATGAATAATAATAATAACAATAATAATACAGTGGACCCTCAATCAACGATGGCATTGTCTAACGTTAAATCCAACTAGCGATACATTTTAACGCAAAAATTTTGCCTCGACTAGCGCTAAAAAACTCGACCAACACGATTTGTTCCGTCTGAGACGTGTCCACTTGTGGCCAGTGTTTACAAGCCAGCCAGCCACTGTGGTCCCATCCAAACATACAATTGGAACATTTCATATTATCACAGCGTTTTTAGTGATTGCACCTGCAAAATAAGTCACCATGGGCCCCAAGAAAGCTTCTAGTGCCAACCCTACAGCAAAAAGGGTGAGAATTACTATGGATATTTAGAAAGAGATCATTGCTAAGTATGAAAGTGGAGTGTGTGTCTCCGAGCTGGCCAGGTTGTGCACAAAACCCCAATCAACCATCGTTACTATTGTGGCTAAGAAAACGGCAATCAAGGAAGGTGTTCTTGCCAAAGGTGCAACTATGTTTTCGAAACTGAGATCGCAAGTGATAGAAGATGTTGAGAGACTCTTATTGGCGTGGATAAACAAAAAACAGATAGCAGGAGATAGCATCTCTCAAGCGATCATATGTGAAAAGGCTAGGAAGTTGCATGACGATTTAATTAGAAAAATGCCTGCAACTAGTGGTGATGTGAGTGAATTTAAGGCCAGCAAAGGTTGGTTTGAGAGATTTAAGAATCGTAGTGGCATACATAGTGTGATAAGGCATAGTGAGGCTGCCAGTTTGGACCAAAAAGCAGCTGAAAAATATGTGCAGGAATTCAAGGAGTACATAGACAGTGAAGAACTGAAACCTGAACAAGTGTTTAAATGTGACACTGACAATGTTGTGAAACACTTTAGGAATGTCATAAAGGAACGGGAGGTACAGGCCTCTATGGACAGATATGTTGTGCGACAGAGGTCCAGTGACTCTCAAGCTGGTCCTAGTGGCATTAAAAGAAGAAGGGAAGTAACCCCGGAAAAGGACTTGACACCTCAAGTCCTAATGGAAGGGGATTCCCCTTCTAAACACTAACACCATCCACAGTCTCCCCTCCTCCCATCCCATCAATCATCACCAGATATTCAATAAAGGTAAGTGTCATGTAATTATACATGTCTTCTTCAGTTTGTGTGTATTAAAATTAATATTTCATTTGGTAACATTTTTTTTTTCATTACTTTTGGGTGTCTTGCACGGATTAATTTGATTTCCATTATTTCTTATGGGGAAAATTAACTCGACTAATGATAATTTCGATGAACGATGAGCTCTTAGGAACGGATTAATATCGTTGGTCGAGGGTCCACTGTAATAATAATAATAATAATAATAATAATAATAATAATAATAATTTCCCTTGAAGCATCATGTAAGAGTGTGTCACTGGTCTTATCTTATCACTCCACTGCTGATAATGGTGACATTTGATGAGTGTGGTTTTATCTTATCACCCAGCTAATGACAGTGGTGACATTTAATGAGTCTTCCCTTTATTTATTTTCACTATTTCACATAAACATGTCTGTCTGTCTATCTATCTATCTGTCTGTCTATCTGTCTGTCTGTCTAGCTCTCTGTCTATCTGTCTAGCTTTCTGTCTATCTAGCTCTCTGTCCATCTATCTTTTTAGCTCTCTATCTGTCCAGCTCTGTCTAGCACTATGTATCTGTCTAGCTCACTATCTGTGTCTTTCTGTCTGTCTGCTTGTCTCTCGTGTCTCAGAGTTGCTCATGAACCAACTGGTATTACAAATGATCACTATCTACAAGCACAGTATAGCAATTTGTCTGGATTTTTTGGGTTATCCTAGGTAATTTACACTATGTATAATTGTATTTACATATGTGTTCCTGTGAGATAGAGACAGAGATAGACCGAGATACAGACAGACAAACGGAGACAGAGCCAATCAGCCAGCCAGCCAGCCAGCTGCCGTCCATCCAGGTGGCCAGCGAACCACCGGCCAGCTGCCGGCCATCCATGAGGCTAGCCAGCCACCGGCCATCCAGGTGGCCAGCCAGGAGGCCAGCCAGCCAGCCAGATGGCCAGCCAGCTGCCAGCTAGCCAGCCAGTTTGTTGAAATTACAGTTCCAGAACTGTTTCTTTTTACTTAGGGCATAGGTTGTAAGACATTCTGGGAGGATGACACTTTACTCTTCAAAAGGGAGTGTTAATATGACATGACTTCAGAGAATCCTTGGTGTTTGCCATGCCATGCTGTTTGCTCTAGCTGGCACTCAACTGAGCTGGTGCTCCCACAAGTTACTAAGTGGTCCCAGATTTTTTTAATAGTGCACACACCGAGGGTTAAGATCCATTCTATGCTGACCAGGCATCTTAGGCCAATCGTGCCAAATTTGGAGGAAGGAAAAATAAAACATAGATCTACGTTTGGAGCGCTAGCGGTAAGAACGTAGATCTATGTTTGGACAGTTAACGGGTTAAGTATCAGCAGAGAATCAGCAGAGAGCATCAAAGCATTCATCTATTGTTAATTCATCTGTTGTTAATAAAGTCAATTTTGCAAAGGTGAATGAACAGACACACTATATGCCTTCCTCTACAGATTTTTTTAACACGTCGGCCGTTTCCCACCGAGGCAGGGTGACCCAAGAAAAAAAAAGAAAAACCCAAAAAGAAAGAAAAAACTTGCATCATCATTCAACACTTTCACCCTCACTCATACATAATCACTATCTCTGCAGAGGTGCTCAGATACGACAGTTTAGGAGTCCCCCAAACTGCCAATATTTATAGATACGTATGTGCATAACAAAATTAATAATCATTACAAAATCATAAGTGCTCTTGTGAGGTGATGTTTCATTAAACAGTGTCACCTAGCTCATGGGATAATGTACTTACCAAAATAGGGGGTAATCTCCATATTTGTAATTTTTTTGACGCTTGTTGAATTTTTTTACATTTGTCACAGGAATACTCGAGTGTTTCCTCGGAGCAGAAGGCCTCTAGGCAGTCTGTTAGTGCTATAGGTTCTACATGCTTGCGGCGCATCTCTTCAACACTACTGTGTACCATGAACACCTGTTATAAAACTTTTTATTATTTTGTTTATATTTCATTAAGAAAAATACATCTGATCAAAACTATATTATAATATTTATGTATGTGTTGTATATACCAAGTAAAAAAAAAATTTCAGCAAATACCAACCCTTTCTAAAGCTGTTTGATACCGCAGATGAAGAGCTGTAGGATCCCAATCAATGGCAAGGAAAGCTGCATTCTGTGAGAAATTATTGTCATCACACGGCAACTGACATCCTCTGCAAAATCTATACCAAGGACACCATGCACACTGCAGTCCTTCCCGCTCAACAACACGCAACACAAATGGGAATTCATAACCTAAGCTGTCATCACTGAAAATATAAAAATAAAAGCTATGAAATATTCAAAGAATGTGAAGATAAAGAGTGCAAAACCATTTAATATGAATTAAGAAGGCAGGCAAATACACCTAATACTATATGCAGTCTTGATGGCAGTCATATATACCCAGTAATATAGTCTCTTACTCTGGCAATTAATACCGTATTGGATACACCCAAAGAGTATCTCACGTGATGTACAGTATGTGCAGAGAACAGAAGAATATATATATACCAAGAGGTGTACAACTCAGTATACATTAGGGCCCCACTTATACAGCAGGTTAGGTTTCAGGCTACTGCATATAAATGCCAGATAACAAATTTACACTAACACACATTAAGTTAGCAATAGAACTAGGCATTAAAAACAATAAAATGTAAAATACACAAATAGTACACTCATTATTTACCTCAAAATATTTGTAGTCTTAAAGTAGGGCGAGAAGTAAGTAGCATTTACTGTAGGAAGTCAGGTGCAGGAGGTATGGTAGCCCTCCAGGCCACCCCACCCACATGTAATATACTACGACATTAAAGTGCTCTAGAGCAATAAAATGCATATACAGTCAGTTCTTGGTTTCAGATTACTGCTAACCACAACTCCTAAATCCTTTTCGCAATCCGTAATTTTAAGATCTGCATTATTTAGTTTGTATGTGGCATTGTTATTTTCCTGCCCAACATTTAGAACTTTGCATTTGTCTATATTAAACTGCATCTGCCACTTCTCCGACTACTGCACCAGTCTATTCAAATCATCCTGAAGTGCTCTAATGTCCTCATTAGAATGAATTGCACAGCCTATTTTGGTGTCATCAGCAAATTTGCTTATGTTGCTATTTATTCCTCTCATCCATGTCATTTATGTAGATTGTGAGCAAGGGGCCCAACACTGACCCCTGTGGAACACCGCTTATGATGTGCCCCCATTCTGATTTCTTTCCATTAATGCAAACTCTCTACTGTCTATTTGCTAACCATGCCTCTACCCAGGAAAAAATTTCTCTTCCTATTCCGTGTGCCTTAAGTTTTCTCAACAGCTTCTGATGTAGAACTCTATCGAAAGCCTTACTGAAGTCTATGTACAAAATTACATATTCAATACCATGATCTACCTCCTCAAATACCTTAGTGAAGAAAGTCAGTAAATTTTTAAGACAGGAACGCCCCTTTGAAAAACTGTGCTGAGATTCATTAAGCAATTTATGCCTTTCAAGATGGCTACGAATTGCTTCAGCAATTATTGATTCCATAAATTTACCAACTATGGAGGTAAGGCTTATTGGTCTATAGTTCAAAGCTAAGGACCTGTCACCTGCCTTGTAAATAGGTACTACATTTGCCATTTTCCACTTGTCTGGCACTATGCCAGTGTGTAGTGATATATTGAAAATATTAGAGAGAATGGATCACAGTAGAATGACATGGAAAGCATATAAATCTATAGGGGAAGGAAGGCGGGGTAGGGGTCGTCCTCGAAAGGGTTGGAGAGAGGGGGTAAAGGAGGTTTTGTGTGTAAGGGATGCTTGCCACTTCCATGCAAGCGTTCAATCACTGAAGTGCTTATGTCTCATTAGAACGAATTGCACAGGCTATTTTGGTGACCTACAATTTGCTTATGTTGCTATTATTCTCTCATCTGCATTTAGAGATTGTGAGCAAGGGGCCCAAACCTGCCCTGTGGAACCGCTTGTGATTGCCCCCATTCGATTTCTTATCCATGAATGAAACTGCACGTCTATTGCTACCATGCTTACCAAGGAAAAAATTTCTCTTCCTATTCGTGTGCCTTAGTTTTGCTAGACATCTGATGTAGAACTCTATCGAAGCTTATGAAGTCTATGTACAAATTCATATGTCAATACATGACACCTCTCAAATACTAGTGATAAGTCAGTAATTTTAGACAGAAGCCCTTTGAAACTGTGCTGAATTATTAGCAATTTAGCTTCAATGATGGCTAGAATGCTTCAGCAATATTGATTCATAATTTACCAACTTGGAGGTAAGGCTTATTGTCTTTAGTTCAAGCTAGGACTTCACCTGCCTTGTAAAAGGTATACATTGCCATTTTCCACTTGTCTGCATGCCAGTGTGTAGTGATATATTGAAAATATTAGCCAAAGGTATGCTAAATTCCTCCTTACATTCCTTTAAAACCTTTGCAAACAGTTCATCAGTTCAGAGAGGACAGAACCACAGAGTATGTAAACAAACAGATGAATACATCTGCTTTTGGTTGGTACACATTCATTCCAATGTCTGTGAATTTTATACCATAATACAAACACCTTACATCATGTGCAAGTTGTCTCCATGTTGGTAAAGTAGAATAAATAAGGAGAAACATTCCCATTCTCATGTAACACACCATTTTTAGAAGGAATAATGCTTTGAGTGAAGGCATGCAAAAAGCATAATTTTCTACAGTTACATCCAGTAATACTATTGTGTACACATTTCTTTGGTGTTGAACTAGAGAAAACGTTATTCTTTCCAACACTCTGACAAGACTGGAGAAAACCTCATATTTATGTTAATTTATTCTACTGTGGGTTGTATTTATCATGCTTATATGCTACATAGCATGTTTACTATATAATATGGAAAAAATTTATCATAGATGGATTAATCAAAATGTCTATATTAACGTAATACAGTGGAACCTCAGCTTATGAACGCCCCACCATACGAACTTTTCAGGATACGAACCGTTGTTCGGTTGACTTTTTGCTTCTGGATACGAATGAAATTTCAGGATACGTCCTTCCCCCTAAATTAATAATAATAATAATTATTATAATTATAATATGTGTGTACTACTACTATTACTAATCTTTCTTTCTTCTTTCAACACACCAGCCGTATCCCACCGAGGCGGGGTGGCCCAAAAGGAAAAACGAAAGTTTCTCCTTTTACATTTAGTAATATATACAGGAGAAGAGGTTACTAGCCCCTTGCTCCCGGCATTTTAGTTGCCTCCTACAACACGCATGGCTTACGGAGGAAGAATTCTGTTCCACTTCCCCATGGAGGTAAGAGAAAATAAAGAACAAGAATTAGTAAGAAAATATTAGAAAACCCAGAGGGGTGTGTATATATATGCTTGTACATGTATGTGTAGTGTGACCTAAATGCAAGTAGAAGTAGCAAGACATACCTGAAATCTTGCATGTTTATGAGACAGACAAAAGACACCAGCAATCCTACCATCATGTAAAACAATTACAGGCTTTCGTTGTACACTCACTTGGCAGGACGGTAGTACCTCCCTGGGCGGTTGCTGTTTACCAACCTACTACCTATAACTATTACTACTAATAATATTAATAATAATATACAGTAGGGCCCCACTTACACGGCGGGTTAGGTTCCAGGCTATCGCCGGAGAGCAGAAAGCCATTTTTTTCCATTTATAAATGTATATAAATGCCAAACAAGTTTACACTAAATTATATTAAGCAAGTAATAGAACTAGGCATTAAAAACACAATAAAAAGTAAAATACATACACAGTACATTCATTACTTACCCTAAAGTATTTGTAATCTTAATGTAGGGTGAGAGGTGAGTAGTACTTATTCGTAGGAAGTCAGGTGTAGGTAGCCCTGGCTCCCTGTCTCATACTTAATATACGATATTTAAAACAGCCCAGAGAGTTAAAATACACATACAGTACACTCATTATTTACCTTAAAATATGTGTAGTCCTAATGTAGGAAGAGAGGCGAGTAGTATTTATTTGTAGAAAGTCAGTGTAGGTAGCCGGTAGGTGTAGCCCGCCTGGGCTACACCTACTGGCCACCTACACTGTCACCCAGAGCTATATTATTAGCATCGACATACCTTGTTCACTGAATTTAATCATTTTTAACAACTACCTTTAGATGCCATCATAAACGAAGGGAGAAATAATGAATAATTCATGCCGAAAATTGTAAACAAAAGCGGAATGGGGAAGTGACTGGGCCAAACACAGATTCATACACGTTTTCTCTGGTGCCTGACCAGAGAAAACATAATGTTGTCCCTCCACCCGGCTACCACACAGGTCCACAAGTATTATTATCAGAGCACATATAAAATATGCAATAAATGCCAGACAACAAGTTTACACTAACATATACGTATTAAGTTAGCAATAGAAATAGGCATTAAAAACACAATAAAAAGTAAGATACACACAGAGTACACTTATTACTTACCTTAACCCTTAAACGGTCCAAACGTATATATACGTTCGCCTGCGCAGTGCCCCAAATATTTTGAGAAAAAAAAAAAATAGTTTTTTATAGGAAAAAAGAGCAAGTGGTACCCAGGCATCCCCAATTTTTTTTCACATGACGAACACTGAGTGTGCACACCCATTCTCTCATGTCTAGGTGACTCAGGCATATCGTGGGAATGTTGAAAGAATGACAAATGAAACGTATATATACGTTTGGGGCCCTACGTGAGAATGCATATATACGTCTGGACCGTTTAAGGGTTAAAATATTAGTATTAATGTGTGAGAGGTGAATAACAGGGTGTTTATTGAATAAAATCAGATGGAACACCATCATCCTCTGATTCTTCAACTTTTATTCGTTTTGGAGACTTGTGTGAAGCTCTGGAAGGAGTGTGTGTTGCTGTTGATGTTGAAGACTGTTCAAAGCTAGCTGTTGATGTTGAAGGCTGTTGAATGCTATCTGTTGATGTTGAAGGCTGTTCAAGACTAGATGTTGGTGCTGAAGGTTGTTCAAGACTAGCTGTTGATGTTGAAGGTTGTTCAAGGCTAATTGATGATGTTGAAGGTTTGCATGATACTTTCGTAAAGTAGGAAAGCATTGAACTTTGCTTCAGGGATTTTTTTTCCTTTCCCTTAAAATTTCTTTATACCATGTAACATCATGGGAAAGGGATGCATTCACTTTTGAACTTCTTTCAAAATTTGGATAAATTTTCTCAAAAATTGTCATTGCTATTTTTATATAGTTAATAGCTTC